AAATAAATAAATAAACAACAACACATATATATATATATATATATATATATATATATATATATGGTATATGTGTGTGTGTGTGTGTGTGTGTGTGTGTGTGTATTACCACATGAGCTCATAAATCTCTGCTTTTGTCCTTTAGAAAAAAGCAATTATGTAAAATGTTCAAAGATCTCTGAAAATCACAACTTTTATAAATGCAAATATAACTAAATAGATTAAATTTTAAAAAATTTCATTTTTAATCTATTAGTTTAATCGACATATATTCTCCTGAGTATATTTATATGATACATTTCTAATTTTAATTTTTTCAGCTGGCCCAAGCATCATTTCTAGATGGGAATGGAACGTCAGAGCCAGACCGCCGAAATTTGAAGCGCCTAATCTAAAAATAAGACCAGCACCGTATGTACTTATCCATCATTCGGCAGGCTCCAGTTGTAATACTCAAGAATCATGTAAATTTGAAGTGGAACAATTGCAGGTAATCCACATTTAGAACACAAAAATTTTTTCTGTAGACAGTAATTTTTAACTTTTAAATCTTCACATGCAAACCATCATATATAATTTAATTAAGCAATATTTGAGGTCAAGCTAAGTATCATAGAATAGATCTGTTTTTGCATATATTTTTATTTGATGTCTTGATAAATAATACATTTGATAACATCTATATATATAACAATAATTATTAAATTTTATTTTAAGAATAAACATATGGACACGAAAGGATGGTCTGACATTGCCTACAATTTCCTAGTTGGAGAAGATGGAAATATTTACGAAGGTCGCGGATGGGACAAGCAAGGCGCTCATTCTGTACCTTTCAATAAAAAGAGTATTGGAATTTGCATCATCGGGAATTACAACAGTAAATAATATCAGAGATAACATAGATTTGTTATTATTACCGCTTATATATGTAATATGTATTTTTCTAAAATATTTTTTCTCTAGCTCGAACACCAAACGCAGCGGCGATACGAGCAGTGGCTTACTTGATCTTCCAAGGAGTGGAAAATGGTAAAATAAAGAGTGATTACAAGCTTCTTGGACATCGGCAAACTTGGCCAACCATGTGTCCCGGAGATAGTCTTTATACAATGATAAAATCATGGCCACACTGGTCGGACAGAGAATAAATTAACACACATACACATACATGTATTTATATATATATATAT